ATGCCGTTGTCCACCAGTCACCAGCGTCATTGCAATATGTGCAACACCCAATCTATTTTTTGAAACATCCAGATAAAACAGTTGCAATATATGTCTGTAGACCGATGAAACACTTGAAAAAACACCTAAAAACACATGAAAAGCCACTGCAAAACATATGCAACATCTAGATAAAACAATTGTAGCATGTGTGAAACATATGTAACATCCAAACAAACACACTTGCAACATACGTCTGAAAAAAAATAGATGAAACATTTGGAACATACACTTGCACATACGTGTATTATCCACTGCAACATGTGCAACATCTTGGTCTACTTTTGCAACATCCAGATAAAACATCTGAAACACTCATACGCTTGTAGCATGCGCTTTCAACGCAATGTCATCTTGCAGCTTAAAAGAATGGAGGCTCGTCGTTGTGGAGCTCGACGCCGGCGTGGAGGTTGACGGCGACGCACGGAGCGGCTCGCCGGTGGGGCATCAGAGGCAGCGGAGGCACTGCGCAGGTGAGCACCTACACAAGGCTACGTGAGCAGCGGTGGGCGAGAACCAGTGCGAGGAGCACCTGGAGAGTACGACGGCCTGCTCAACGAGCACCCCCTGGTGAGCGGCCAGCAGCCGACGAGCACCCCCTGCCTGATAAGCACGAGCAGGCTAGGAGCTGGCGAGCACCCCTGGCTGGTGAGCATGACTGCATGAGCACCACCTGCTGCGCCAACTAGCAAGCAAAAGCACCCCTGGACTTGGTGTATGGGTAGAGAGATTTTTTAATAAATAAAGAGGCGCCGATGACGCTGTAACGAGTGGAAAGCTCCGTCCGTCCGGACGTCCTTCCGCAGCATTACCGAAGCTAGAGGGGTGGAATCGGGACTTCGGGAGGCGAGGAGGGCGAGGGGCGCTGGCGCTATCGCGCTCGGACCGGTGGCGCGAGGCTCTGCGAGCAGCGATCCGAAGTTGCGAACGGAGCCGAGTCGGTGCAGACAGCGGTTCGAACCACCGCTCGGTGCAGATCACGCCGATCTAGATGACCGACGGATCGGGTGAGCACTGAGCGCCTTTGGAGAGAGATGCCAGTTCGTTTGGATCATGAGTCAGCTACTAGGTAGGGTTGAAAACAGACCGAATTTTTTCATGTCTTGAACCGCTCGTTTTTCCGTGTGACCTGGCCGTTTTCGTATTTTTAGAAAACTAGATATATGCCCATGCTTTGCACTGGGATCACGAATTTTTATCCATGACTGGGACGTCGGATTCAAAAAATAATTAAAAAAACTAATCAACGGTTTTTTTATTGAGAACCCTAAACTATTTCAAATCTATTGACACTTTTGGTTATAAGAGTCAAATATTTCTAACTTTTTTTAGAGAGGACGGCAAAAGTTTTGCCGAAATATTTCTAACTTGAATTGTCGCTTTTTAAAATATATATATATAGTTTCACAACCTATAAAGTATATATCATGGAAGTATTTCTTTTGGTGAATCGAAACATAAATATTATGTTATTAATTTATATAATTTCATTTTTTTAAAGTACTGGTTACATATATAAATAAGAAAGAGAGTACAAATTAGGAGTGCTTACTTGTTAAAAATTAATTAATTAGTAGACGTTAGACACAGCACAACAGGCAATAGGTAACAGAACATCAGGCTCCACTCAAAGCAAGCAATAATCTTTTGTTTCCCAGTCGAGGGAGCTCGCGGTCACCGGTAGGTGAAATGGATGAGCCCCTCATATTAGCTACTCCTATTTGGCTTGCACTCTTCTTTAGAGCTTCTCCAAAGCAGTTCCTCAATAATATTTTCCTAATATACATGCATTAGGTTAGTTCAATATTATCTTTGGTCAATCTTGGAAGAGTTGCTGCAGCAGTACCCCAATATATCTCCTCCAATATCCATATACGCCCTGTTTATTTGGGCTTATTTGGCTGATAAGCCATGGCTGAAAGTACTGTTGGCTGGTTTAGTGTGAGAGAAAAATATTGTTCGTTGGCTGATAAATCATGGCTTATAAGTCAAATACGACCAAGCGAACAGGCTGATAGAAGGTGGGTTCCACAGGAGTGAAAGAGAAAATATGACTAAAAAGTGGTAGTTTGGATAGTCCCCATAGTGTTGTGGGAGTTGTATCTTCCTCTTTCTGTGAGAGGAGATGGGGAAATATTAGTGGCCACAAAAAAAAGGTATTGGGAAACTGCTGGAGCAAGAAAAAAGCATAGTTGTCCTTAATATAATAATTTTATGAGAATATGTGAGGTATTGGGGAACTGCTAGAGATGCTCTCAGCTCCTTCCAATCAAACAAAAAGAAGAAAAGTTATACACCTCCATCTCCAAGTCACGTGTGGAGGGATGCAAGTAAAAATAGAGAGTAAAATAGTAGGGCTCATTTTTAGTTTTTTCTCATATTTGGGGTTAAACGAAATTAAGATGGTAACTACAAAAGTAAAAGCAGAATGGTGAGAAAATATGGAAGAAATGGAAATTGATGTTTCTGTGTTTTCACAGATTTCACAAATATAATAATTTCAAACAATAATTTCATTTGTTTCACAAATATAATATTTCTTTTGCAGACAATAATTGCATATTTCACAACACTCGATTGAATCTCTCATGATTTGTCATCAATATAAATCTCTACGACTAAAAAGAATCGGAAGTCATCGTTTTCGCACCGCTAATCCCGGCGCCCTGGGCTAATAAGCGACGGCCACACACCCCTTCGTCCGTCCGACGAAAACCTTCCGCGCGGAAGAAAAAAAACCGCTCCACTCCCACGACCCCGACGCACTCCTTCTCGTGCCCGCGCAACCGTTCAGTCAGAGATCGCAAACTCCACCATCGCCATTCACAAACCCCCAGATCCTAACCCCGCCATCCACCGGCACAGCCTTCATCCACCGTCTGCGTCCCTGTTCGTGGAGAAGGAGGTGGGCGTGTCCCGGCGATGCTGGCCAGCATCTGTGCCGCTGCGGAAAGCATGTCCGACCGCCCCATCCTGTACAGGCAGGCCTTGGCGCTGGGGCTGGGCACAACGCACAGGCACAGGCGCACAAGAGGCATGGTGGAACAAGCACAAACTATCTGAAATGGAGGAGGGAGGGAGAAGACGATGAAATGGAGGAACAAGACCACAAGAGGCATGGAGGAACAAGCACAAACTATCTGACAGCAGATATTGATGGTTGCATTCAAAATATTTAACTTATCAATGACGTTTTCCTCTTTCTTTTCTTGTAAAGGAATTTACTGAACTTTCTTGACTTTCTGAAGAAACCTGACTCAAGTAAGCTTGATCAAGTATGCTTGTCTCTGGGATCAAGGAGAGAGTGCACCCGCATAACAAGTTTTACGGTGCCATTAAGGCAACTCACCATGGCATGTTGCATCAATATGAGCTTGAAGCTCGGCGGGAAACGTCATTCTAGGCTTGCTCTGTTAAGGGCATGAGCAAATTAAATGATTCAGGTTGTCTTTTTAAGTATCACAGTAAGTCAATAACTAGGCCCGTGATCTACATGTTTGGGTGAATCTAATTTCCTTAGGGCTCATCAATTTTCTGTCCTTTTTTTTTTCTAGAGCAGACACTATATTGTGGTTGTTCTCCGAGTGAACTTTAGTGGACATAGTTCATGTGCCTTTTGATTTTGATAGGTCTTTTAGCTATGAACTATTCTGTCAGTAACGACCAAGAAGGTATTGAGTTTATGCAACTGAGATAGCTTATATTTTCAAAACTGGACACACTCTTCTATTCCTTAGAATATCCATTGATTGCTAACTAACAACTTTCACAATATAACAAAAAATAGATGTTATGAAGGGATATTTATGATGATCAGTTGGAGTGTCATTTGTTGCGTGGAAGTGGTACACTTTGATACAAAAGTCATTTAAGTTGGTGATAAGAGAGGTAAGATTGACAAAATCATAATATAGTTTAGCTTTGGAAAGGATCTTAATAAGGGACTTTAGTTCGGCCATATGGATTGCATATTCTGAGTGACACAGAGTTGTCTTGAAATATTGATTCTGGCTTGGCGATAATCTTCGGACAACACACCCATCTCGTGAAATTCGTTGTTGCTCCCGTTGCAACGACGGGCAATCACCTAGTTATATTTAGGTTTCTTACGGTGGAATGGTATCGATTCTTCGTGGGACAAAGGGAGTAGAGTTGTGTGCATAGGGTGAATGTACGTGTGTATGTGTGTTTGTTTAAAAAAAAATTAAAGTTTACAAGCTGTGACCATTTATTAGTCAAATTATGTACATGTTAGTTAGTGCACAAAAGTTGCATCTATGATTGTCGGAACTACTATTAAGACGATTTTGATTTTTCATCAATTGACAATATACCGAACAAATTGTGAAAAATATACGCTTGAAGGTTTTATTGTTCTAAAACAGGAGGGAATATCGAATATGCGACTTGTGAAACATCAAGGTGTTTCATTGAATCGGACAGCTTTGTTCTTTATTATTTTCCCAGCGATATTGCCCTAGAAACAATTTAAGGGCTCGTTCAATTACCCAGGAACTATCACCCTATCACCTAGAACGATTCCCAGTTGGAATGGTTCACTAATTTATATAACCTTGATCAGCTAAAATAATTTCTGGACTCATTCCAGCCTGACCGAACGAGGCCTAACTCCAATGTTCTGGACCGTCTACACTACGCATGATTTGTCCAGTACTCCACGAGTGTAGGCTCGAAGCTTTCCTTCTTAAATAAGTAGTGTTCTTGGCATATTGGTGAGTTTACGCGAGCAAACATATAGAAAGTGATATTGTTTTTTTTTTTTGCAAGTGCTTGAACGTTTACCTAAAGGGACATGCATCAGTTGATTTGCAAAGATATATATACTCTAATTCGGTTCTAATCAGTGGCATTTCACTAGTCGTTATTTCTTAAGAACTATTCGTAAATCAACAAAAATCTAAATATACATGAAAAACAACATAATACAGTTACAAGAATTTTTATTTCCCGGGGCTGTTGTGCGCGAAAGCATCCGTTGGACTGCCCCTCTCCTGTTCTTGTTCCCGCTGTTGCTGCGATGGTAGGAGAGGAGGCGGGAAGCATTTTGGCCCAGTGTCTATGAGGTCCACGGCCTGTGAGAGAGAGCTACAGTTCACCATTTGGCTCGTGGGCGACGCAACGGAGTACGCCGGATGCACCGTTGCCAAGGTCAGCCTGCGGCTGAGGAGCTCGGTTTGCGCAATGGAGAGCTCGGCTTGGACGAGTGCTACCTGTTGTTGACAGAGCTCTGTTTAGAATGGACTATTTTCGCTTTAAACACGAAGGCGGGAAGCATTTTGGCCCAGTGTCTATGAGGTCCACGGCCTGTGAGAGAGAGCTACAGTTCACCATTTGGCTCGTGGGCGACGCAACGGAGTACGCCGGATGCACCGTTGCCAAGGTCAGCCTGCGGCTGAGGAGCTCGGTTTGCGCAATGGAGAGCTCGGCTTGGACGAGTGCTACCTGTTGTTGACAGAGCTCTGTTTAGAATGGACTATTTTCGCTTTAAACACGAAGCAGGTTGCCAGTGAGAATGCGTATAAGCCGCTTGTGCTGATTTGTGATTTTATCTCCCAACAAATCAGCACAAGCGGCTTATAAACCAGCCGAACAGAGCCGAAGAAAGTGGCGATCAGAGGCACTTTGATACTTCTGCTATGTTTAAAAGACTGCAGATGTTAAAACAAGAATTATTGTGGTGGTTGCTACTATATGCAGATATACATATCCGATATGAATTATGATACTTATTTGAATTCATCCTTTTAAATTCGTCAGTATACAAATTACTTATAAAATATAGGGCCATACAACGTCGTCTTGTGCTAATTAACCATGAAACTTTCCTCTGAAAATATCACCATGAAACTAATCGTAACCAGCGATTAGGTGTGAATTGTTGAGCACGGGAAGCAAAATTAACCGAGTAAGTGGAGAAGACCTATGCTATGCACAAGCACAACGGCGGCGGCGTTGTGGGTGTGCCAACATCGCGTGGTATGGTATCGTTATCGTGGTAACATTAACCTGGTGCTGGAGCGCAAGGATGGTGCCGACGCAGCCGTAGACGGGATCGGCGATGCGCGCCTGCGCCTCGTAGCAGACGGTGCTGGCCGCGTCCCGGCGCAGCGCCACGGGCACCCGCGACAGCATCTTCGCCACATTGCTGGCGCCGAACACCTTGTGCGCGGCCGCGAACTGCGCCGCGCCGGCCCCGCCCCCGCCGCTGCCGCTGCCGCCAAAGTGCGGCGCGAAGATGCACCCCGGCACGCATCGCCGCCGCAGGAACTTGCACGCGCCGCACGGCGCCCCGGCCCCCCAGAGCGACGACGCCACATGCATGTATTATCGCTGTGCGTTCGCGCCGCCGGCGCGCGGGGTTCGTCGCTTAAACAAGGCGCGAGCAGCACCTGGTCCTGGTGGATCGCGGTGACGGTGCGCTAGCTACTACCCCTCTGGGTGGCCACGCAAGATTTTATGAGCTCCGTGTCGCGCGGGGGTGCACGCCGCTCGCGCGTGCCTGCGCCTGCGGATTCCACGGCGCGGGAAGAGAAGGCACAGAGGTAAACTGCCCATACATTGTTCAAAACTTCAAATACTCGGATGAAGCGTTGAGCTCCCTACGAGTGTGACTTCTGTCATTCTTGAATTCTTCCTCATCAAAACATGAAACCTGTGTAAGTGCAGGGATTCACCGACTCACTGTACACAGGGATGAAAACGATCGGAAACGATCGATAGGAGGCCAAATCACTTTCATTTTCATATTTTTTTTCGAAAACGAAATCGATACGATATTGTCGGAAACGAATACAGCACCGATATTTCGGTAATTTCGAAAACGATAGTGGTCGATCGAAAAATACATCGATAATGATTGGAATCCATAAGAGTGATATCCTCAAAAACGATAAATACGCAAAACTGTAGAACATGAGAAGAGCCATAAAACTCAACCTATCTCACATGATAATAGTAATAAATAAAGCCATAATTGACAAGACCACGAGCTAAAACCACAGGTCACAAGGGTCTCAAACAAGCTAAACCCCATATTCCGTTCGTGTTCGTGGTGACTAAGTTAGGGTGCGGTACGTGATTGGTTGGTTTCCTTCTTATTCCTATGCGGATGAAATACTTGCCGTATAGTTTCTTTCTAAAAGGATGAAATATTTGCTGTATAGTTTCTTTCCAAAAAATATTTCCCTTATGTGCTTGCGGTTGCAGATGAGATGCTTAGATGTGGGCCAACTAAACCTAAAGTATATGTATTACATAGTCTATAAATAAATTAGGATTCACGGCCTTTGAATCGGTAACTACCGACGGTAAATTATCGACTAAATACGGTAATCTTCGAAAACGGGCAAAATCATTTTCGCTTTCGTTTCCAATTATTTTTATCATTATCATTTTCATTTTTTCGATTACCGCTACCGTTTTCATTTAGGCCTGAAAATGGGGGGGGGGGGGCTCGAAAACGATTTCCGAAAATCGAAAATTATCATTTTTGTTTACATCCCTAACTGTACAGACCACGCAAGTCACATTTGTGACATATTCGTGCCTTTCAGGCGGATAGCCGTGTTTCACATCATGCAGAAACTCAACCGCACTCACTCAGTAATGGAAGCAGTGTAAAATGCTTTGGGACCATCTAGAAGTGGATCCAGTGGGGTTTTCATTGGGTTTCTCGTAGTAATGGTGTGAACGAAGAGGGACAGATAGGGAGAGGAAGAGCTAGGGTTAGGCACTGACCATCCATTGAGTAGGGGATCCGGCCATCAGGTTCATCGGTGAAGTTCTGCGCGCTAGGCAATGACGGTCGGTGAAGAGAGCGACGCATGATGAAGACGTGGTGGCGCGCAGCAAATGGCGGCGGCGGTGCTTCCGTCCACCGGGTCACGCCTCTGTTAGATCGAGTAGGGTTTCTAGGTGGGGGCGACGGCTTAGGCGAACCTCGTCATCGAGAGCCGTCGACCCCACCTCTATTTAATCTTGCAGATGTGATGGGGCCCGCCACCATAGATGGACCGGGCGCCTGATCGGCCGAGGTCAAGGCCCAAGTGGCCGTTGGGCCACTGTGGTTGGGAGATCAAACAAACATTCTCCCCCTTGATCTCAACTCATACTTTAACTTTAAACTTTGACTTTAATCATTTTCACTTTTATTTGTTCCATCACAAATTAGTGCATAGAGCATGCTTCATCGTCACGGTCAATTGCCGATAGACTTAACAGCTACAATACACATCTCTGTTCTGAAACATATTCTTTAACTTTGGGCTCTTTGTTGTCCGGAAATCATAGGCTATACCATAAACCCATGTCGACTGTGTGTTCTCCAAACACACTGGGTGGTAAGCCTTTTGTAAGCGGATCCGCAAGCACTTGCTTGTTACTTATATGTTCAATACTTTTAGTATGATTCCGGACTTTCTCCTTCGCAACGTACAACTTTAATGTCAATGTGTTTGGCAGCACACTTGACCCGTTGTTATAGGAGCGAACTACTTAAATGGTTATTGCTGTTACATACCATTATCAATTCCGGGTGTAAGTTCTTTTAACCACTTCGCCTGTCCTTAAGCCTCATAACAAGCTATACCATGGGTATGCATCTTTGATGACACCACAAACTGCTTTCTTTGGAGCTTTTCCACAATAAAACTCCAATCATGAAAGTGTTAGCTACTATGTGGGTTTCACTAAACATCTCGCCAAAAATTTAACTTTTGTACCCACAACTATTTGAGAGTACTTATTCTTTCTTACTCACCATGAGGCCTATAAATCTTTGCACAATTACAAAACATTCTCAACTCCATTCCAGTGATCTACATCTGGACTGGACTTCTGCCAAAAACATCCCGGATACATGAACTGTGTAAGGGCAAGTTCTTGCTTATAAGCATTCAGTAAGCTTCCAACAGCTGAAGCATATAGGACGTCCATTTGATCGATCTCACATTTATTCTTGGAACACTGAAAGTTCCGAAAACTATTACCCTTGACTATAGGAACAAAGTTTTATTCATGTATATACTTTATTTTTTAGAATCTTCTCTAAGTATACACTTGAGATAGTTCTAATACCCCTTTCCTTTTATCACGGTAAGTTCCAATTCTCGAACGAATGATGCTTTACCAAGACCATTCTCATTGAAACTTGAGGACAAGAACTGCTTCTTCTCCAACAAAGTAGATTAACACCACTACTAGCGCAGTAAGGTGCCACCCACATGCGTGGATTAGGAAAATAAATTTCCCATGTTTAAACTTTGTATAAATACAATTGTCCTCTACATTTTCTTTAAAACCCAAACTTTCTTATTGTCCTGTCAAGCTTCAAGAACCACTATCTTGAAGCTTACTTTAATCCATAAATGGATTTTTTTAGGCAACATCCCTTTACGTTCTTTTCCTTCCACGACAAAACCTTTTGAGTTATGCCATGTAAACTTTTCCATACAAATCCCTGTTGAGGAATGTGTCTTTACATCCTTCTGATGTAACTGTAAATCGTAATGTGCCACGAATACCATTATGATTCTAAAAGAATCATTGCATGCTCATTATAATCTATTCCTTCTCTTTATGTAAATCATTTCACCACAAGTGGCGCTTTATAGCTTTCCATATTCCCTTTGGATATCTTTCTATATTCCCTTTGGAGTCACCTTTGTCTTATAGACCCATTATAGCCTACTGTTTTGGCTCCATTAGAAATTTCTTCTAAGTCCCAAACATCGTTGGTATTTATCGATTTCATTTCATGTTCCTTTGCTTCTTGCCATTTAGACGAGTGAACGCCTATCATGGCTTCTTCAAATGAGGTGGAATCACTCTCTATTTGAATTTCTTTCTTAACTTTTACTTCTTAGTCACCAGAAATATCTGATTTTCTTATTCTTTGAGACCTTCTAGGGTCTCATGGCACTTCTTTCATATGGGGCTATTGTTACTCTTCATTGCCAAAAGGCAATTGTTCTATAGCCTCCTGTATCACAAGATCCTTGTTTACTTATTCATCCTCTTTAAGAGCCAACATCTGGTGTTGTATATGTCATACAACATCAGCATGTATAAAGCAATTTGTTGCTCTAATAAACACTATAGTGGATATGTAATCCCATTTCTATTCAAGCCTTAGGTATCTACATACCATGCTCCCACAGATTACTCCATCTTCTGTAAAGATGGTGTATCTTCAAATTTCTTATTTTGGGTTTAATCTGCTAAAAAAAAACTCATACGGCGCATTTAGCACCGCCTTGATAACTCTGAACTCGTCCAGTACCGTCTTACTCCCTCAACGATCACATTCATCTTTTATAGATCACTTTTTACCTGCAATGCATGCATTGCATTATCTGAAGTATGGGGGGAAGTATCTTTCTTAATTGTCTTTCTTAATTAATCTTACATTTCTCTCCCTCGAAATGTGGTATGAACTTTTCTACCACAATTTCGAAACATTCAGAACTCTTGTGAATGAGGAAACTTTGATTACTTACTTCATCCACATGATTACATCATGCAAACAAAATTCGTATGGGAGTATATTTTCCTCATTACACTTTAAAACTCAACATAGTCAATTATTATCAATACTTCTGCAAGTCACACTTACATATCATTCTTATCTCTTGGTTCACATGCAACTTTCTTTTGTTCTCAAACTCAATTGAGTACTTATGACCATGACACAATCAGAGTGTACGGTAAATACTAGAATAGCATAAGAGCTATCCCAAACTTCTCTCCATGTGCGGGATATTTCTTTAGAGCATATGAATCGTCACATCCTCCTCCCGCCATGCGGGTATTTTCTCAAACTTTTTCCCGCCATGCGGGTACTATCACAAACTTTTTCTCGCCATGCGAGATAGTTCTCTTGAACAAATATAATTGTCAGGATTGGCTCGTGTTCAATCATCAAATTCAGAAATAAATCCGAATATTCTTTAACGCACATGTTTAATCCAATGTTAGTCAAATTAAACATGTATATGACTTTTACAACTCTCATAAGTGAAACTGAAAATAAATTCTTCTCCACAGAGAGTACATAAAAGACATTTCTCAATGAAAACTCTTATTTTTCTATCTCTTTTCTTGGATCAATATCCTAGAATTCTTTTCTTTTGAAGCCATTCTTTAAAGAGAACACAATCTCTTAACCAACGGCATTCTTTCATACATAACTTGCCCTTGGGCATTTCATCATCTGAGTCACAAGTACCCAGCTCATTTCTCTTACTGCCTTCAAGAATGAAAGCATGGAGGTCTTTTGTCTGAAAAATATTCAACAATAATGCTCATTAAACTTTGAAAACTTT